TGCTGGAGAAGGCTTGGAGGAAAGGGCAAAGGGCCGGAGGGTCTCTTCAGAGTCGGATCTGCCTCGGCTGAGGCCCGTTGACGTGGCGGCTGCAGCTGTGTGCCCGGTCGGCTGCAGGCTGGGAAGTGAGGAATGCGAGTGAGGAGCAGGACTGGCCTTGAATGAGCATGGCAGGTGTGAAGGGACTGGTCCCCCATCCCAGCATTCCTCCTGAGGAGGCCCACATCGGGGCCTGGCCCAGCCTGATCCCTGCCAGACTAGACAAGAGAGGAGGGCCCGGGGTCTCCAGTTAAATGCTGGGCCCTCACCACCCTGATTGAATCTGATCCACACCCTTAACAGACTGGGGTTAAGGTTAGAGTTGCACCTTTGCCACATGGCCCCTCCTAGAATCCCGAGTCCACGAAGAAGACAGCCAACCCGTGTCTGAGTGTGAGGGCGAGTGCGTGTGAACATGTGGGCACGTGCACCCCCACCCTAAGGGGTTGTGACCTCAGGGTCACAGGGGAGACAGGAGCAGGAAGTGTAGGTGGACTGACTGGTGGCCTGGGCATCCCCTTCGGGCAGCCCTGAGTGGACACAGATGGCTATGCCCCTGAAAGTGTCTCACACTTGAAGGGGACAAGCACGAGGTGAATTTGCATCAGGAGAAAGGGAATGGATATTGGCTCCACCAAGAGCAGGAAGTGCTACTGGTCTAGGTAACTCTAAGACCTAGAAGGTTCTTGGCACAAAGTGTTGCTCAATAAATTCTTGTGAATGAGTAAGTAGCAAGCAGGTCTCAGGAGCCTAGCGCCCCTGCTGCCACTCGGGCCCTCTGATGCCCCCTCCTGGCAGCCTGGCAGAGGGGTGGCAGGGGTGAGAAGTGAGGGGACGAGAGGCCCCGACACGGCCTTCAGTCCCTCAGTCAGAGGCCCAGAAGAGAGACTGGGTGGGTAGGGGGAACCCTAGAGGCCTTATTTCCTTTACTGCTTCTTGTCCCAGACCCAGCCCCACACAGGCACGCGCCAACCTGCGTGTTCAAGGGTGGACCGTTATCCCCAGCGGGTCCCCACCGTGCTGCCATCACTTTTGGGTTCCGAGGCTTCCTGTGGCTTCCCTGACGTCAGCATCCCATCCAGCGGAATCTCTTCCTCGTGGGCACCGGGGCCGCCTCAGGGCGTGTGACAGCCTGGACGTGCCACACGTAGGAGATGGTGCACTCTGCCCCAGCTGTCAGGGTTCAGGCAGCAGGGGCGAATACCCCATGTCCTTCCTTCTCCTCAGACCTCTCCACCTGCCGCACCTCCTCCCTGACCTGCCTCCTCTCGACCCCGGACTGCAGCCCGAGGTGGGGTTCAGGATCCACTCGGGACCAGGCTGTCCAGCAGTCACCCCGGTTTTTCCTGTATACATGTGACAACAGGCACAGCTGGGGTTGCCCACTCGTGTGTCCCCTCCATCCCTGCACAAAGTGCGCAAAGAAAACCTGAAGTCCCCACCCCCTCTTCCCACATAACAGAAGGTGGCCCGAGAACCTTTCAAAAGGAACATCGGTTGATTTCTTTTCCCTTGTTTGGACTGGGGAGGGGTTTGGAGAAATACATTATCCGGTCTGAAATAATAGCTGTGGATCCGATGAGAGGTTCTGGGCAAGAGCAGGCCTGGCTGAGTCATCGTCCTGGTGCTTGTGTTTCTTAAAAATAACCCCCCTCGCAATATTCTAATTCCAGCCAGGGGAGCCCTTGGAGGAGGCCTCCCCCCACGCGACAGCTCGCCCAGCTCTGCTCGTGAGAGGAGCTGGCGAGGGCTGAGCATGTTCCTGGCCGGGCGCACAGGCAGGTGGCGTGCTGTGGTAACCCACTTCTGCCCCTCGCCAGGCCGGGAAGTGGCAGCTAGTGTGGCTGGGAAAGAGAAGGGTTTCACCTTCCAGGTAGTTTGCCAGGAATCTCATTTTAAAGCATTTCCTGCCAGTATTAGCCTCCTCCCACCCCCACTAGGTTCTGGGTACCTGCGGGGAGGGGCGAGGATGCAGGGGAAAGAGACAACCTGGTCCCTTCCCTTTGGAAGCCCTCACACCGCTGCCACTGCGGGTCCACGTTGAGCTTTCTGAGCGGGCGTGCTCCCCAAGTGGCTTTCAAAGGTAAGGCAAAGCCTCTCCTATACAGAAAAAGACACTTTTCTTCCTACTCATGAATTCTTAGAATGTTGTCACGGTGACTTGACTTCCTGGCTTAGGACTTTGTCTCTGTTAAAATAAAAATATCCCCTGATAACGATAACACATCAGCCATTTACACATTAGTGAGAACTCGACCAAAGTTTGTTGAGCATTTCAGGGTATTCAGCCGTGGGGATTCAAAGGTGGATTTACTTGATCCTGCTCTCAAGTTGGTCACCGTCTCCAAGGCAGGCCGAGGCTTATGAGCCTGCAGGATTCTCGAACAGACGTACAAAAGGAAATGCTGTAGGAAGTCGGAAAATTGTTCGTGGGAGAAGGGGCATTCGGGTCGGCCCTCGAAGAGCGACAGGAGCACATGGGACAGGGTGTTCCATAGCCAAGGCGCGGAGGCAGGAGTGGCCATGGTGTCGTGCTCAGGTGACTGGGAGGGTGCTGTGTGTGGGGTGCAGGAGGACGTGGGCTCCGGATTTGGGGGACAGCCTCTGGCTCTGCCACCTGCCAGCCATGTGACTTCACTTTGAGCAAGTTCCCTGACTTTCGGTGTCTCTGTTTCCTCCTCTGTTAAGTACGTAGGAACAGCACCAACCCCGTAAGGCTATGGTGGGAATCAACTAACCCATATAACCCTCCTAGAACAGTGCCTGGCACACGGGAAAGCCTCAAACACCAACGTCGGCATCCAGGAGGCGTGGGGGAGGCGGGGCTGGTGCTCAGGAACAGTGCTCAGGTTCTAGAAAAAGTGGCCAAAGACACCAAATGAAGTGCGTTTGCTCTCAAGGGTGCCGACAGCAGAACACGAGGAAAAGGAAGGGGCGGTGTTTTAGGAGTACACAAACTATAAAAACGGGGGTGGAAATTCTGTTCCCCGAGGCTGAGGGGCGCCAAAGTGAGTCAGCCAGGTGACTGGCCAAAAATGCCTTTGGAGGGGGTGGCATCCTGTGGCTGGTTGCTGCTGTGACCCCGAGGAAGCCCCCATTACAGGGCTGAGTGGGACCCACCCTGTGGCCGGTCCTACCTCCGACTGTCCAGCAGGTACTGTCAGTCACGGGACTGAGGGAGAGAAGACAGGGCAGTGCAGGTTTATTTTCACACCTGAAAAGCAGTAGTAAGGTAGTGTCTTAGGAGTATTATTTTCGTACACGAAGAGCAGCCCCCGTGAAGTTTCAGGAGAGGCCAGTTCAGTGTCGGGAAGCGACCAGGCCAGGGAGAAAGCAGGTGCTCAGAAGGTCGGGCTCTGGGCGAGCTCCCTGGCGGCTGCTGCAGGGACCATGGCCCAGGGCTTCTCTTGTTAAGCGCGGGGAATTGCTTGATTTTCAGGCAGTGGGAGGTCTTACATCCTACATGGGGCTCCAGGGGAGAGACCGACTCTCAGAGGTGAGTCTCTGGACCTCACTTAGGGTGTGGCACAGTGTCCTGAGTGGAGTTATAGCGAACCTGCTAGAAACACATTCTCCGTACTCCACCTGCTAACCTTCCTCAGGCCTACCCGACACCTGCCATTCCTAGCACCGTGTCTGGATTTCCATCGGGTTAGTCAATTAACGGAGGGAAATGGCACCAGGTAGGACTGGCTTTGGCCGCGGGGAAGGTGAGGTTGCAGCTGTGGCTTAGCTGTGATTCACCATAATGTGGGAGCAGCTCCGCAGAGGGGGTGGCGGGGGCCTGACTGCCCTCTGCCTCTGCAGTGTGCCAGCTGGGGGTCCAGCCCCACTGTCACTTCCCCAAGGAAGACGGGAAAGGGAAAGAGAGGGAAGGGCACATGCCAGCTGTCTTCTGCACAGGTGTCCTGGGGACTGACGGCCACACACTTCCACTTCAGTCTCATTGGCTTCTTAGTCCAAGGCTGTGCCCAGCTTCAGGGAGGCTGTGAAATGGGGTTTGCATTCCAGGCAGCTCTGTGCCCAGCTAGAAATCAGGGGTGTCCTTACTACTAAGGAAGAAGGGGAGAGTGGATGATGAGGGGCAGCGAATAGGCTCTGTCAGACACAGAGCATTAAAAACATCAGCTAAAAACAAGTGTAACTCATACTGGGGTAAGAAATACAATGTTAGGGGAGGGAGCGTGGAAATCATGTTTTAGTTGTTACAGGAAAGGTCTCCCATTTAATCCTTTTCTAAAGCAGGGATCACCTATGAGCACTTCGACCTTAAACTTTGTAAAAGTGAGCTTTTCTTGACTGAGTGTTCTCCAGGTGGGCCACATGGAGAAGGGGAGACACGTAAATACACAGGTGTAGCTGTGTACTGGAAAGTACCTCAGGAGATGTATTTAGGGCACAGAGAGGTTTTGCCACTGAATGACTTTGCACAGTGACATGCTTTCTCTGATGTGCTGTCCAAGGTTCCCCCCGATCATGTACATCGGCGTCTGGAGTAGTGACGGTCTCCCGAACAGCTGGGACGCTCGGGTGAGACCGAAGCACCTGGGCTGGCTGCAGCTGCGGGCGTCCCTCTGGGCACGAACACCAGGGAGCCAAGGTGTCCGGGGAGTTTGGCTCAGATTCTTAGTTCACCTGTAGTACATGTGACACTTTAGCCCCTTCAAGGTTCACAGGTTAGAGTGTGACCAGATTCAGACCGAAAGCTGAACAAACGCATTCAGCAACCCGTACACGTGTGTGAACTCTGGATTGAAAAAAAGCCTGTGAAAATGTTCCTTAAAGCCTGTAAAAGGCGGACTTTCGAACAAGAGGCAGAGGTGGGAGCTGAGGCTGGTGGCTGGGGTGGGGCGAACATCACAGGGTCAGGAGAACTGAGTCAGGGCGGCCCCTGAAAACACTGAGTTTCTTTCTCCGTCCCGCCCCCTCTGCCCCGCCCCCCACCCGCCTTCTCCCCGCAGGCCCGCTCTGCCGGAGAAGAAGGCGGCCGACCTCAGCACTCTGAACGAAGTGGGCTACCAAATCCGAATTTAGGCAAAGCCATACCAGCCAGCACGAGGGCTTCTGTGGTGCTTCTCTCTGCACTTTACCCAGCGTCTTCAGGGGGAACTGCAACTATTTATTGAGAATTCGTGAGTTTTATTTTTAAAGATTCACTTGGAAACAGAACCTGAGTGGGTGGTGACAATGTAAACAAAATTCACGAAGGGGAAACCAAGAAAAGGCTCAAGTCACGCACCCCGCTGGGGCTGGACTGTCTCCCTCGCTCCAGAGAGAAAGGATAGTACCATCGGCGTAGTTCTGTATCTTTCCACTTACCTACATCCTTTTACTGGCTTTCCACATCCCCCCTCACCACGAACGTGCTCATGAAATCCTCCCCTCCCATTTGATGTAGTAACTCAGTCAGTATTAATGTTTTCTGCAGCAATAACAGAGGCAAAGAATGGTGGGTTTTTTTTTAAGCTGTCAATATTACCTCAGCATCTTGACATCAGATATGCAAACTTACTAGTGTTTTGTTTTTTATATTCTATTTGTATTGCTTCCCCAGTATTTCCCATGGGGATAGCCACAGAGTTTGGAATTCTTTCCTGGTGCATACATGTGATGAGATTTTAGGTATTATATGCAAGTGTTTTGCTAAAAAGCACTGAAATTCTTCTGGCAATACGGGAAATCATTTTCAGGAGTTCCTTTCTTAATCTTTCTTAAAGCACCACTGGCAGCGGTTTTTGTTCTTTCAAAACAAAACAAAACAAAACAAAAAAAAGCACGTTCAGAAGCTAGTCTACGTTCTGTCACTCACATTTAAACTTTGCAGACTCTTGCAAAAAGAAGCGGTCGTGCAGGACTAGAAAAATTGACCAGTGTGGCGATCGCCCCTGATAACAACACAACTCAGAAAGGCAAAGAGGCTGTGAGTGAAGCTGCAGGTCTTGAGAAACAGAGAATCTTTCTGTTCACATTTCATCCAGGCTTTTTAAACTCTGAGCTGGGCTTTGATTCTGAAGGACTCACTGCTGTTAGAGATGTGTTCTGATGTCTTATATTAAGACCGAATTGGGTGTGATGTGATGATTTTCCGGTATGACTCCGTGGTGTGTAGGAACTGGTATTGAAGAACACAGTGAACTAGAGGAGCATGGGGCCTTCTCTGAGTGATGAAGTCTTCAGGCCGTGTTGCACCTTACAGCGTGACTTGGGCCACGGTGCTCGGGCCACGGCGCTCGGGCCACGGCGCTCGGCGTGACCATCTGACCCGCACACGGTAGCTCCAGGGGCACTTCTGGCTGCAGACCATGCAGAATAACTCTAACAGCATCCCAGGTCTGTACGTGTTCACTATCAAGAACACAGCTTCTACTCTGTCTGCTTTATCTTAGTAACCATGGCAACTCATGAGACCAAAAGACATGGACGTGAAGTCTGCTAGTCCACAAAAGTGTTACTTCAGCCTCAGTCTTCCCCTCTGACTCTCTTTGGCTGGCAGTGATTTTAGGAAGGGATAAAAAAAAATGGGAATCTGCTCATTCCGATTCTGCACCTCTCAGGGTGAGTGACAGAGAGCGAAAAGGACTGCATCCATCCTTTGGCCGTGTGACGTGAACTCACTCTACCCTAAAAATCGGTTATTACTGGAGAGTACTGGTTTCTTGGGGGGAAAAAGGAAGTCTAATGTCTTTTACACAGACAGGAACAAGCAAACACACACCTCAATTAGAATAAAATATACCATGAGTTAAAAATCCTGAGGTTAATCACCTCAAGAACAGTATTATCAGTCAGCAGTGTTTACAACGAGTTGTCCCTGTATATCTGCACAAGGCAAGCCCATCTGCAGCCCGGGGCCATGTGAATGTACAGCAGTGAATCCTGTCATTCTCACGCTGAAAACAGATCTGTATCTTCTGTTCATCAAGCTGAAGCTTTATTATACCCAATAAGAAGACTATAACATTGCAGTCCTCCTAAGAGCTTGGAATGGGGTTTTCCAAGCATTACTTTATATACTGTCCCGACTAAAATACAGAAAGTCTATAGTTGCATAGCCTCTTGTTTCTCACAAAAAGGGGGGGAAAAGAACAGGAGTACAAACTGTTTCCAATATGCTGATGTGTAAGCCTTAAAGCTGCCAACTGGCTTGATGACTCAATTAAGGAAGTAAATTTCTTCCACACCAACTTCTTGATTTTAGGAGTCACTTCTCCAAAGCAAGCGTTAGTCACAGAACCATGCAAATTCACTGAAAATGTTCTTAGTTGTCATTCTATTGTTCATACTTATGGAAAGTTAATTTCTAAAAGATGTGAGAAAGGAACCAAACTTCTAAATTCTGGTGCATTTAATTTTAATATTAAGGCAAAACAAAAAAAATGATGATTTGCCCCCCCCCAAAACTGATTTTGAAACTGGCTATAATTCAAAAGATCAAAAATGAAACTGAAATGGTTTGAAATATAGTTGTGAAAATGTTATAATGCAAGAGAAATTTTATGCTCAAGCCATTATGGCAATATATGCAAAGTTTAAATGAATGACAGAAATCTTGATTTTAGACTACATGTGAGTACACTTTATTTCAAAAAGTGGTATTTGCTATTTTCTATACACTGAAATCATGAGCATTTCACTTTTTCTAAGTCGATTATTTCATAAGGGTTTTATTAATAGATATTGGTAAATAGAACTTTGGAAATCTTAATTCAGTATTCTTACTATACTCAAGGCTTTTGTAAGCTAGTTTTATGTACAACCTTGTACAGTTTTTTTGACATACAATTCAGAATCTTGTTTATTCTCTTGGACTTTGTTCTGGCCAATACATTTTTTTTAAATCTTAAAAAAAACTGTGATTGTTTTAGTGGGTATTTTTCTAAGTAAATGAAAACTTGTATAATGGTATTTTAGAGAATGTCAGATAGTGCATGTTTAAAGTTAATGTTTTTCTCATCACTTGTATGTTTGTACAGCATGGGACTTTAATAAAACCAACCTGGAGACTTAAGGATTGTTTTTCTTCTAAAAGTGTAAGACGGTGTGATTTGTTTTTCTCGTCCGCTTACTATATACTTGTCCCAGTAAACTAACTTATCGTTCTCTCGGCCTTCCACAACCTTCAGACTCCACACTGAACAGCACTCCATTCTGGCACGTCTTCATTCGCCTGTATTCACCCCCAGCCTGAGCGACAAAGGCTGAAAAGGGTAACGGAATGATTCCGAAGAGGCAACAAGCCAGCTTACACAGCTTAGTACATCCACCAAAAATACTTCAGGCACAGATGTACCAGTACAATAATTTATTCTAATAATTTAATAGGTAATTCATAGGTTCAAATTGCAGATGACTTGACATCTGTTTCCCTGATCCCTTAAACGCTCTAGATTCTAACTTAGTTGTTTTAGGAAAGCAAAGGGTTAAAAGCAAACAGTCGCTAAATTAAAAAACAAAAGCAGAAAAGGACAGAGAGTGCAAACATGCATGTTATCTTGCTATCAAAAGGAGTGGTCGCACCGAAATTTCATCGCCCCACAATGCTCCTTTCCATTTAAAACTCGGGCAGCGTGGAACTCGAGGCCGTGGGGGACGTGGCGTCAGCGACTGGCCAGGCGATAGGCTCTGGGCAGGTGAGTACTAGGCTCTGACAGTCACCAACTCTTCTGACCAAAACAAGGGAAGACAAGTGGACCCTTAATTTTAGTGCCGATTTAAAAACCTGTGAAAAAGCTACACTGACCCTTTGGCCTCCAGTCCACAAACTAATCCTGCATTCTATAAACTAAAGAAGAAAGCAATTTTATGGATTAACGCTATCAAAATGAAGCACGTGAAAAGGGCCTAAAACACAATATATTAATCAGGATATAAAAAAATTAATTTCCACAGGGGTTTTCAGGGATGTCAGTTTGTCAGTAATGACCTTTTTAAAAGTTACTTTGTTAATAAATTCATATAACAAAGCAATAATCAATGAATTTTCATTTTTCTTTCCCCATTACTAAAAGGGGATAATTACATCTATTATTGTTATTTGATGATGACCACATCTACTAATAGGACAGATTATAATATTCTGAAAACTGTGACTAGGAAATGTGAGAAATCCTAGAACTATAGTTAGTAGCACAAATGAAAAAAACCCAAAGTGAGAAATTAAGCATTTAAAAGTACAGGGTCTGGCACAAATAATGCTCCCTTTTATGATTACAAAATCGTAAGCATGTAATTCTGTAACATAACAACGTCACACTCAAGCACACCATATGACATTTTTGGTGGAATGTTCAAATCGTTGCCCACCTCTTGCAAGACATTCACATACCTGCCAGCCACACTGAAGCCTTACTTCTGCCGGACCCTGTGTTTGCTTCTCACAAGTTTCACTAAGCTGTTCCTTATTGCCCACATGCCTTTCGGGGGATTCATCTATTCCTTTTTCAAATAATGGTAGTAAGCACTTTAATACAAAAAAAACTTTTAATGTCCAAGACTATAAAGCAACCAACCACTGCTTTCTAATTTAAAGTGAAGCATTCTATTAAGAAAACCTACTGTAAAAACTTTTATAATTCAATAAATTCAATATAAAATTATTTAGTAAAAACATAATTTTTCGATCCCCACGTCTAAAAGAGAAAACTGTCACTTTTTATGTTTTAAAAAGTTTGATGTCAACACTCACAGAAAGCCAACTGCAGAATTAGATCCGCTCTTAACGGCTTTATAAAAAACGTCAGCACTATCTCACACTGCAGCATCACGATAAGAGAAACACGTCTTAGAAACAAAACCACTAAAACTGTTAAAATTACTAAAGAACATTAGGTCTCCTTGTTGGTATCGTTCCACTAGACTTTTGCTGGCTTCCTCAAATTTCTGAGGCAAAACAAAAATAATCTTAAGCTGCCACTTTATTCCAAAGACATGCTTCCTAACAACATATTTCTGCAGCACTGGTTCACTAATATAAAATCTCTCCCTAACCCACGGATCTTTTCTTGAAATTGAGGAGGAAAAAGAAGAACACTGCTGGGGAAATGAAGGCATAGCCCCAACTTCTGTCTCCTGTAATGGCTTGTCTGTGAAGAGGGTGGAAGAGTGGGCCTACGTAAGTACCACGTCCCACTGGTGATGGGGCCGACATGTCCCCAACAAAAGGCAGATATGTTACATGTCCCAGGATGGTAACAAGATGATCAAACAACCTGCACAATTTCTTGAAAGCATGTCAAGACCCCTCAAAAACAAACTAAAGTGGTTGGATACTTGTGAATGGCCCAGTGATTTCTAGGATGAACTAATGGGACTCACTCAACAAACATGCAGCCAGGCCCCTGGAAGGAAATGAACATGGTTTGCAGACTCAAAGACACTTGGGATCTACTGGGAAACTTGCCACAAACATGAAATGGAATTTTTACTAAGAGGACTAAAGAAGATGCACTATATTTTAAAATCACTGTCTATTTTACTGGAATTTAGAATAAAAAATATTTACAATTTTTTTTTTACAATAAAGAGCATTTAGATTTCATTTGTCAGGAAAATATTCTTTCATTATTAAAAAAGAGAACTGCTGTAAACTTGTTTCTTCTGATATCTGTTCCAAGCATTTAACACAACCTCTTCAGAAACGCCACAGCACAAAAATAAACAACATGCAAACTCTTAGGAACACTTTCACAGTCTCTGGAAAAGAATAAAAACTGGGAAGAAAAGTATGTCATCAAAGAAGAGTCAGAGCTCCAGTCTGAACTTGGCCAGTAAAGGCAGATGATCTGAAGAGTTGTTTTCGTTTGGGAGTCCGTTAACGGTCCACAAGTCTTGTTCCGTAAGAAGTGACAGTCTAGCTAGAAGTTTCAAGCCGCCAACCAAAGCAACTTCAGCTCCTGCGTTGAAGAAATATACATATTTAGTGAAACTGTATCAACAGGTCATTGTAAATTAATCATGCAAGTCTTTCCCCCTCCAAAACAACGATGATACAGAACTTGAGACCCCTCTGAAGTCTAAAAATAAAACTTTTCAGACTATGATTAAATTTTTACTAAGTTGTTTAAAAGTTTTCAGAATATGCTTATTCATTGAGTGCAACCCAATTATAATGCTCAAATTCACAGCAGTTTCAGATGTTTAGGTTTTTTTCTATTTAAGATATGTTTTCTATTTCAAGTTCTGAAATAATCTAGAAGAGAACATCAAGGTAATAATGTTTGGTAATTCTTGTAATGTTAAGAGTAATTTCAGACTCACAACTTCGTAAGAAATTCATCCATCAACCACTCTATAGTTGTATAAATCCAGACAGACACTGCTATAGCTAGGCAGGAAGTTTATAAGGTGACTGGGAAATAAATTTATAATTTGGAGGGTCACTTTAGTTTACAAGAAGCAAAAGAGGACATGCTCTTAAAATTTGAAATGCTGGTCCACGGCATACTTCCGCCACCTAGTGAAGAGTTGAGGCATGACAACTACCAGAACCTTGTTCCATTCCAAGTAGAGGGCCTATTTTGCAGAGCTGACCTACTGGGGAGGAGTTAAGTCATCCACTGAGTATTACTAATATGGTTATCCTCAGTGGGAAGAAAAAACAAACAAAAAGGAAAAGGGGAAAGTAAAGTGGCACCAAAAAAATGGAAGAGAAAAAAGGGAAAATCGCAAAAGACAACAGCTGTATTTTGGACTGTCAGTTTTCTGAATGGTACTTTTTGACTGTCACTTATATGAAACAGCATTTTCTTCTCCACATTAAATCCTTTGATTAATAGAGCCTTATTTTCATTGAGTCATACAAGAAAAAGTGTTGTAGCACCTCTGCTTTTTGAAAACACAGTCACAGCCTGCTCTTTCCAGAAAAAATCCAATCCTCCAAGGTCAACATGACCAAATTGTCTGGTGTTGGAAGCATAAACGAGCACAGCCGTGGCTGTGTCTACCTGGTTTTATGCAGCTGTGGGGTGGCTGATGGGTAGATTTCTTGTGAAGCTGTCAACCTCAAATAACTCTTAACATTATGAGAATTACTGAGCATTATTACATTGATGCTTTCTCCCAGATTATTTTTAGCACTTGAAACAGAAAAGAGGTACTACAATAATGTTGTTGGTATAAGGAAACAGTAAATATATGACGAGCAAAACCAAAGGGTAATGTGCAGGACCCAGACCTCAGAAGGTGACTGGACTGGAGGGTAGAGATGAGGATATAAATCTTAGGTAATGATTTGCTTTGAGGCTTTTACTGCCTCCATCTTTTGCAGGTGATTAACTGACTTATTCAAATACATCACCAATCTGTCAACTATATTACCAATTTAAAAATAGTTTTAACTTCTAGCCCTGGCTGGTGTGGCAGTAGACTCAGGGGTTGTGGGTTCGATTCCTGGTCAGGGCACATGCCTAGGTTGCAGGTTCAGTCCCTGGTTGGGGCGCGTATGAAAGGCAGTGGATCAATGTTTCTCCCTCTTGTGTCAGTGTTTCTCTCTCTCTCTCTCTCTCTCTCAAATCAGTGAGCATGTCCTTGAGTGAGGACAAATATACATATTTATATATATAAACATATATATGTATTTAACTTCTAAATCTGGAACTTCATCTAGATGTTTAGCTAACTTTGTCAGTTTCAGCCTTGAGGTTTTAGTGACTGTGTCCTCAAGCAGAATTGAGGGTTACATGCGTCCTTCACCTGGCTGCCCGGCAACATCTTCCTTCCCCACAGAATAGAATATGTAGTCCACCGTTATGGCGCTTCGGGAATGACAGGTGGTCACTTCTGGAATCCCAGTGTCGGGGAAATAATGTGAATAAACAGACGACAAGCTGAAATGGTGCTGTAAATGTGAAGACAACCTAAATTGAAGAGAAAAGTGTTTAGCATCCATCAAGTTTTTCATATTTCATAATTCCTCCTGTGAAGGCACTTTTTCATTTTGTTCCCAGACAAAACCAGACATTATGGGGAGAAGCTTCACGTACACAGACAACACTGGAACTTGGCGTGTGTTCATGCAGTGGTCACCAAAACCCAGGAACCAGGTTTTGAAACACAGGCACGGGGGGCTCAGTAATTAAAATACTCGTGTGATTTGTTATTAACTATACTCGAGAGCCCCCACTTACTAATGAACACATATCCTAAAACAATTCACAGGCATGCCTCATTTTACTGGGCCTCGCTATTACGCTTCACTGACATGGCATTTTTCACAAATTAAAAGTTTGTGGCCACACTGCAAGTCTTTGGGTACCGTTTTCCAACAGCATTTGCTCACTTGGTGTCTCTGTGTCACATTTTGGTAATGCTCCTGAATTTCAAACCTTTCCATTGCTGTTTGTTATGGTGATCTGCGGTGCCATAAACCACACCCACACAAACAGCAAACTCAACTGATAAATGGGTGTGCTCTGACTGCTCCACTGACCGACCACTCCCCAGCTCTCCCCCTCTCCTTGGCCTCCCTGCTCCCTGAGACACAACAACACTGAGATTGGGCCTCAACAACCCTATGACAGCCTCTGAGTGTTCAAGTGAAAGGAAGAGTGACATGTGTCTCAGAGGAAGGCACATTCAAAGGCAAGACAGGCCAAAAGCTAGGCCTCTGGTGCCAAACAGCCAAGTTGTGAATGCAAAAGTTCTTGAAGGAAACTAAAAGTGTTACTCCAGTGAACCCATAAATGATAAGAAAACAGAACTGCCTTATTGCTGACATAGAGAAAGTTTTAATAGAAGTACATACCAGCCACAACATTCTCTTCTGCCAAAACCTAATCCAGAGCAAGGCCCTAATTCTCTACAATTCTATGAAGACTGGGAGGTGAGGGAGCTGCAGAAGAGAAGTTGGAAGCTAACAGGTAGGTTCATAGGTTTAAGGAAAGATGCTGTCTTTGTAACATAAAAATGCCAGGTGAAGCAGCAAGTGCTGATGGAGAGGCCACACCAAGTTATCGCAAAGACCTAGCTAAGGCACTTAATGAAGATGGTTACACCAAACAGATGTCCCATGTAGACAAAAGAGCTGTCTATTGGAAGAAGATGCCATCTAGGAATTGTATAGCTAGAGAGATATCCATGGTTGGCTTCAGGGCATCCAAGGACAGGCTGACTCTCTTGTTAGGGGCTAATGCAGCTGGTGAGTTTAAGTTGAAGCCAGTGCTCATTTATCATTTTGAAAGTCTTAGGGCCCTTAAGAATTATGCTATCTCTATAACTGTGCTCTATAAATGAGATATCAAAGCCTAGATGATAACACATCTTTTTACGCCATGATTTACTGAATATTTTAAGTCCACTGTTGAGACCTATTGCTCAGCAAAAAAGATTCCTTTTACAATATTACTGCTCCCTGACAATGCACCTGGTCACCCAAGAGCTCTGATGCAGATGCACAATGAGATGAATGTTGTTTTTGTGCCTGCTAACTCAGTATCCATTCTGCAGCCCGTGGATCAAGGAGTAATTCTGAATTTCAAGTCTTAGTAAGAAATATATTTCAGAAGGCTATAGCTGTCATAGTGATTCATTCCTCTGATGGATCAGGGCAAAGTAAATTGAAAACCTCTGGAAAGGGTGCACCATTCTGTATGCCATTAAGAGCATTCGCGATTCATGGGAAGAGGTCAAATATCAGCATTAACAGGAATCTGGAAGAAGTTGATTTTAACCCTCATGGACGACTGACTTGTTCAAGGCTTCTGTGGAGGAAGTAACTGCAGGTGTGGTGGAAATAGAAAGAGAACTAGAATTAGAAGTGGAGCCTGAAGATATGACTGAGTTGCTGCACTCTCATGATAAAACCTCAACAGCCCTGGCCAGGTAGCTCAGTTCGTTAGAGCGTCATTCCCACATGCCAGGGTTGTGGGCTTGACCTCAGGCCAGGGCACATACAAGAATCAACCAACGAATGCATAAATAAGTGGAACAACAACTGCTGTTTCTCTCTCAGTCTTCCCTTCTGCTCTCTCTAAAATCAATACATAAAATTAAAACAAAAAAAAACAAACACTGAACAGAGGAGTTGCTTCTGCTGGATGAGCAAAGAAAGTGGTTCCTTAAGATGGAACCTACTGGCTGGAGAAGATGCTCAAAATGACAACAGAAGTTTTAGAATATTACCTAAACTGAGTTGATAAAGCAGCAGTAGGGGTTGAGTGGATTGACTTCAGCACTGAAAGAAGTTCCACTGTGGGTAAGATGCCATCAAACAGCATCACATGCCACAGAGACATCATTAGTGAAAGGA